CAAAAAATGAACTCTGGATCATGCCAAGTGATATAAATCAATAAATTATGTCGTTAACAAGTTATTGTGATTTTTTTTATACAAAAATTTAAGTAATACACAGTTTTGTCAAGCTAAGAATATGCTCATATTTGGAGTCATCAAACCTCCTCACACTAAACCTTTGTTCGTCCTCGAACAAACTGAATCATGAGATCACAGAGTCATTATGTTCACTGCAACCAAGAATTGCTAACGATCAGTGCCATGATTGGGAGCAAGGTGAATCTCAAATAGAGACAATTGATCCTTAAGCATTCAAACTCGCCATTTGATTTAACATGAATGGAGTTATCCCGGTATCATCTACTTTGTTTGCTTAGCAGGGATTTGATTAACGAATCCTTCAGCCGAAGGGTGCGGGGAATCATTCTCTTTTTTTCTTTTTTTTTTTGAGATGAAGAGTTTCAAACAAACATTGTGTCTGCTTAAGATCTTATTTGATTCTCGCACACCTAGGCCTTTTCAGCTCCTTTGTAACGATAGGTCCTCCCTACGTCGCTCACATTGTGTCTTAAAACCATATTTAAGGATTTCTCTTTTCAAGTCATCTCTTGTGAACAAAGTCGATAGAAAGAAGTTCGCTTGCCCTATTGAGTATGAAAAAATTTGAAACGAAGGGGGCACTAATCTTCATAAGTTTTATTCGTTGTTACTTAGTCTAACACTAATGTTCGAGTTATTGAGAAAGTTCGAAGGACAATTACTTGTTCTAGTGTTTGTAAGCAATCTAACTTTATTTTAAAACATATCACAGAGCTAACGCAGCGGGATATCACAAGCATTTCAAATAAGAACACATACTTTAGATTATGTTAGGCATACAATAGAGAAAAATGTCACTTGTTACCAAAAATTGTTGTTTCGTTGATCATTCGGTCTATGTACAACCCTTGCCATTTCAGAATTTATGTACATGGGGGAGGACCTTCCTTTATTTTCTTTTCTCGCTCGAGGGTCCTCGCCCCTGGGGAAGATTTCTCGTTAGTTTCCGCACTAGATCTTCCATCCTTTGAAGACTTTGAGCTATGTCAAGCTGTTGTTCCATAAAGATGGCGTTCTACTGGGTGATGGCTGAGAGCGCCTTTAAAATCTCTGTTAGAGATGCACCCATGCTTGCAGCTAGAGTCTCCAGCGCCTCTACACGCGCTTCTAGTTCGGCGCTTGCCTTTCTTCCAGTGGCCAGTTCCTCAGCCAAATTTCTTGCGTAGGTATCGATCAAAGTTTGGGTTATCAGGTATTGGCTGAGCATGGTTGCGTCGAGTTCATCCATTCGTCTTTATAAGGTGTCAAGCATTGTGCGGGAAGCTGATGTGCCTACTTCCTCGGTTGCTAGTGACTGTCCCTCCGACTCAGCTGAACTGATGTCCACTAGCTCTTCTTTCTTTGAGGAATCGGGTGCTGGCTCAGGGGTGACATCCCTAACAAACACTAGTTGTCTCACTGCCTCATACTCCAGCTGCTTTGCTTTCGTTCGTTCCAAGTATTTCCTGAATCGTAGCTTGAGTTAGGTCAGCGGCTTCCAGTACTTGAGCAATTTGACTAGCACCTTCATCTTCCTCTTCTTCTGGCGCTCAAGCTGTCGCTTTTGTTCTAGTTGTTGTATTGCAGCGAACAGCTGAGCCTGTTCTTCCCGGAATTTCCTTTCCTCTGCATCCTTCTCCTTATCAATGATTTTTTTGTCAGATTTTGCTGAGGCCGGAGTTAGAGTTTCTGCAGGTGTTCCAGTTGTTACTGGCGTTCTGGGGCTGCGTGGAGACACCTGCAAAAGGGGAAGATTTTTTATGATTGCCTCAACCCTTTTGGTTTCACTGGCAGCTTAAGCGGTTGTGGCAGCGGGGATCTCAGAGGGATACTCCTTGTAAGACTCTACTGTGACATCAATCCCGCCGATGGTTTCTTCGGTGATGACGGTCTCCCGCTCCTCCTCTAGTCCAGCAGCAGTAGGCTCCACCGCTCTCGGCTGGTTAACGGGTGTGGTTTCATTGCCTGGTCCAGTAGCAGTTGGCTCACCTGCCCCCTGCTGGTTGAAGGGAACAAGTTCATTGCCCAGCGGACTGAGCGGCTTGGGTGGCACCCCCACCGTCGCTGGCCTCGTTGGTGAAGGTCTTTCAGGTTAAGCGGTGGGTTCTCGGATTGTGATCCTTTTCCGTAGTCTGGAAAGCAGGATCATGTCTTTGCGCGCTTCTTCGTCCACCGCTTTTCCCTTCCCCTTCTCCTGCCTTGTCGCTCGCCGAGGGGGTGTTGGATTTTTTTGCAATGCCTCTTTGACCCTCGGCTTTTTGACAGGCACTAGAGCAGGGTCTTCCTTCCATTTCGACCTCTTTTCACCAGCGGCCGCTCCCGGAGCTTTTCCTCCCTTATCTCCCCTGGCCAACTTTGACCCGAATAGATCCTCCTCTATCTCCCGAGCGAAGTGGAGGGACTCCTCCTTCTCATCGATGGGAGTTTCATTGGAGATTTTTTGTTCAGAATCGGGTTCACCAGTGGCCTCTTCCGGGTCAGCTTAGGGTGTCACCTCCTCTCTTATTATTTCCCCCCTATAATCTTCAGTTTCCTTTTTGGTGGAGGGAGTGCAGCCTCTTGCGCTTTCCTCTTTTTCTGTTTGGGGATAAGAGTGAATCCCTTGGACTCCAGCCATGCTTTGTGGAAAGCCGCTGGGAGCAGCGGCCTCATTTGCAGCTCTGGGGCTGGACTGGGCAGATCGACGCCCGTACGTCAGCATAGCTCTGCAATCAGGGTCCCGTGTCCGAGCGTTCTCTCTTCATTTCTTCTTTCCCAGATGTCTATGCCGATTATCACGCCCAAATCCAATCAGGACGCAAGGAAAAAGTTAGGATGGATGTCTGTGGTGTGCGTGGTGATCATAACTCGGCTCAACGACCACTTCACCCATTCCTTTTTCTCTTCGTCCACCGACCCAAATTTAAGGTTCCTCTTATCGTATTCAGGGGTGGTGGCGAAGGTCCTGTATAGCGTCTGCAGCTCAAGCGAGCTGCAGGCCTCCATTGCCCGTAGTCTGTCCTCCATCTCCTGGGTGGGGTAGTGATGTTCCCAGCCCAGGACTCGGTTGATCTTTCGCGCTGAGCAGTCTACCCATCTCCCTCTCACATATACGTTATGTAGACTCTCAGCTTGGCTCAAGTTCGCATAGAACTCCTTCACCAGTGATACATCCACTGTATCACTGGGATTCCTGATCAACCAAGTCAGGCCCCGCTCCCTCAGCCAGTCGGCGAGCGGGCCTGAGATCTTCTCGGGGTCAAAACCTCTCTCGTAGAGGATCCCCATCACCTTCACCTTCTCGTAGGCCGCTGCTGCCTCAATGTTGACGAAGTGAAGGGAGTCAGACTGTTTGGACCTCAACACGTCCTTGGCAGCATCGGCAGCGTTCTTCTTGGAGATCTTCTCGCTCCTGAACGCCTTCATCTTCTCTATAGCCTCCTAGCAGGCAAGTTTGTTCTCAAGCTCTTTCAGCTAGAAGTCCATCAGCTCATCGTAATCCAACCACCAGTCGCTCACCGGATACCTCTACTCTGTTTCCTCAGTGTATTCAAATCTAAGGTAATCCTCCTGGAACTCTGGGACAAACTTTCTGAAGGGAACTGACTTCAGCTCTCTGAGCTTCCCCCAGTCTTCTGTAAGCTCGAGTACCCTCATCATTCTGTAATAGGCCTCCGGCGGTGCTGGTTCCACAAATTCAGCCCCCGAGGTTGAAGTTATCACTTTCCGCCCATCTGTGGATTTAATCCTTTGAACTCTCTTTTTTATTTTCTCCTCAACCTTCTCGAACTCCTTTCTTAATGCTTCTTGCTTGCCTGGATCTATTTTGTTAGACTGTCCTGAACCTAGGGTTTGCAAATTTATTGTTTAATATGAGAAATTTATGAATCCTGTCTTAATACTTCTAAAATGCTAACAACATTCATGTACATGCAATCATTTCCACAATCTCAGTGATTTGAACCGTAACTCCTCCCCCTTACAACGAAACAAAACACTACAGTGAGTGTTCCGTTGTGAAAAATGGAGAAAATCACAAAACAATACCAAACATACAGATTATTGCAAAATTGATCCATAAAAAACAAGTATATCAGTTATTATATCTAAATCTAGCAGATAACGGACCTAGATTCACATAAATTAAAGATATACACATTTTCGCAATAATGAAGAACATGCAGTTTTCGCGAAAATATATTTGTGATTCTGTGTTATTCGACGTTAAATCAGAGAAAATCAACCATGAAATCGAAGTTATGGACTAAGGTTAACCTAGGTCTTACCTTAGATGGAGATATTATACGCTGAAGAATTGAGATTTTGAAAAATTTTGTACGTGGAGAAATGGCGGTTACTGAAGCTTCTTGAGAAAGTTACTGTAGGATAAAAGTGGAAAATGACTTTTGACTAGGGTATTTATAGACTTTTTGTCACTCGTCTGGAGTGGCAAACGGAGCGCTGCCTAGTCCACTATACTATTATAAAGGTATAAAGGTGGGTTATCAGGGCGGGTGAGCAAGTAAAACAACACTTCTAATTACCTAAGGCTGACACATAAGCGGTGATGGAAGTGGTACTGGGTGAATGATACCGCATTTCCAGTAAGTATCAGGGTGAGACAAGCGAAGCGATGACTGGCTTGGGTCAGGCTTAGGTTAGAAGTTAAAAGTCTAAATATTTTTCTAAAGGAACGAATCATTAAGCTACTTCTAAAAAGCAATAATCCTAACTATTTAAAGCAATAACACTATTTTAATGAAAGCGATAACTAAAACTGTAAATTCTAACTATGAAAGCAGTAAAGATAATTATAAAATCTATCTATGAAAGCGGTAAAGGAAAGCTGTAAATTTTTAACTATGAAAGTGATAAATTCTAACTAGGAAAGCAGTAAAGGAAAGCTGTAAAGTTTGACGTTTTTAAGATTAGGCTTCTGGATTTTCTTTTTAATTCCATCACATGACGAGTTTCTGAACTTCCACCAGATTAATATCTACACTGGCCTGCTTCAAAATAGGCCCTTTGATATAGGGTTTCAGTCTCGCTCCATTAACAAGGAAGGAATCACTCTCTTTGGGGTTGTCCACATTACTTATTCTTATGGCTCCACTTGGCAGCACTTGTCTGACTATATACGGCCCAGTCCACCGTGATCTCAACTTCCCTGGGAACAAGTGGAGCCTAGTATCGTATAACAGAACCTTGGATCCCTCAGCAAATTCTTTCTTCTTCAACTTCCTATCGTGATAGAATTTCATCATTTTCTTATAGAGTTTTGCACTTTCATATGCAAGATATCGGAACTCAGTCAAATCGAGCAATCTTTTGGTGCACTTCTCCTGCGCGGAGAGAAGATCAAAGTTTAAATATTTGATAGCCCAATACGCGCGATGCTCGAGTTCCAGAAGTAAGTGGCAGACTTTTACATACACAAGCTTGTATGGGGACATTCCAAATGGAGTTTTGAAGGTTGTTCGACATGCCCACAGCGCATCATCCAATTTTTTTTTTCCAATTCTTGCGAATTTTGTTTACTGTGGTCTGGAAGATGTGTTTGATTTCTCTATTTGAAACTTCCACCTGACCGTTTGCTTGTGGGTGATAGGGGGTAGTCAGATGTTGACAAACACCATATTGTTGAAGGCAAGTTTGCAGCGCCTTATTCACAAAATGGGTGCCTTAATCGTTTATTATCATTCTGGGGACCCCAAACCTTAGAAATATAGTATATTTTAGGAAGCGGATCACAGATCGAGCATCATTAGTAGGGAGCGCCTGCGCTTCGACCCACTTGCTCACGTAATCCACCGCCACCAGAATGTTTTCCCATTTGATTTTGGAAAGGGACCCATAAAGTTTATCCCTCATACATCAAAGATATCCACAAACAAGACTCCAGTTTGGGGCATCTCATCCCTCTTCGAGATAGAACCAAATCTTTGACACTTGTCGCAAGATTTGGCAAAGGCATCTGCATCTTTCTGTAGGGTAGACCAAAAGAAGCCAGGCTACAAAACTTTGGCCACTGTGCACAGGCCAGTAATGCCTTCCTACATGGGACCCATGGCATTCATTTAAGATCAGCGGGATCTCAGATTCCACTACACAGTGGCGGATTATTCCATATGAGCCGATGTTAAACAAATAGGGTTCATCCAAAAAATAATCCTTTGCCAAACTGAGAAATCTCTTCTTTTCCCGTTGTACTGTATGTGCAAGAAACTGTCCTGTAGTTAAGAAATTTGCCAGGTCAGCAAAAAATGGCTCATTCGCTTGTACCAGGATCAACTTTTCGTCTGGGAATAATTCGTTGATTCCAGGAGATATGTCCCTTTCTTGCTTCAACCTGCTGAGGTGATCTGCCATATGATTTTCCTTCCCTTTTTTATCCTTGATCTCTATGTCAAATTCTTGGAGCAACAAGACCTATCTAATCAAGCGGGCCTTTGTCTCCTTCTTCTCCATCAAGTACATGATAACTGCATGATCTGTGTGAACAATGGTCTTGCTTTCGATCAGATACTGTCTGAATTTCTCGAAAGCGAAGAAAATAGCTAGCAGCTCCTTCTCGGTTGTAGTGTAATTCTTCTGAGCAGAATCTAGTGATTTGCTTGCATAGTATATGACATTCAATTTGGATCCACTCTTTGTCCTAATACAGTGCCGACAGCATAATCGCTTGCATCTATCATCAACTCGAATGGCTCGCTCCACACTGGTGCAGAAATTATAGGAGCGGTGGTCAGCTTCTTCTTCAAGATAAGGAAAGCCTCCTCACACTCGCTTGACCAGTGAAAGTGAGAATCTTTGCACAACAATGCAGTGAGCGGTTGTGTGATTTGACTGAAGCCCTTGATGAAGCGGTGGTAGAACCCCGCGTGTCCAAGGAAACTTCACACTCCTTTCTCATTTGAGGGCGCTGGCATTTTTTCGATTACACTAACTTTTGATCTGTCTACCTCAATTCCGGCAGCTGAGATCTTATGGCCTAAGACAATTTCTTCATTTACCATTAAATTACACTTCTCTCAATTCAGCACGAGGTCAGTCTCGATGCAGCGGAGAAGTACTTTTTCCAGGATATTCAGGCATCTGGAGAATATCTTGCCATAAACCGAGAAGTCATCCATACACACTTCTAAGTAGGAGTCCAGGAGATCACTAAATATATGATACATGCACCGCTGTAAGGTGGCCGGGGCATTGCAGAGCCCGAATGGCATCCTCCTGTAACCGAACGTACCATATGTACATGTAAATGTGGTTTTATCACAGTCCTCCGGCTTGATGGGAGTCTGATGGTAGCCTGAGTAGCCATTGAGGAAACAATAGTACTCGTGTCCTGTGAGCTTCTCTAGGCATTGATCAAGGAACGGAAGTGAGAAATGATCTTTCTTTGTGACGGCATTTAATCTTCTGTAATCGATCCAAACCCTTCATCCAGTGACAGGTCTTGTCATGAAGACCTTCCCTTCGTCGCTTGTTTGTTCGACAAAGCCTCCTTTCTTGGGAACCACCTGGGTTGGGCTGACCCACTGGCTGTCACTGATAGGGTAAATGATTCCTGCATAGAACAGCTTGATTACTTCTTTCTTTACTACCTCTTGCATATTCTCGTTTAGACGCCGCTGAGGTTGTCTACATGGCTTCGCATCAGCATCCAGCCTAATATGGTGCATGCACACCGCTGGGCTGATTTCTTTTATATCAATAATCTTCCATGCAAACACCGTTTTTCTTCTTTTGAGAAGTGAGACGAGCTAAGCCTCTTGGTCCGGCAACAATGAGGCGGAGATTATCAGCGGGTAAGTCTCCTCCGGGCCAAGGTATATATACTTGAGGTGCTCAAGTAATTTCTTCAGCTCGTCCTTTGTACAGGTATCGCTCGCTGGTTCTCTCGAGGCTTCCTCTATAGACTCCGTGGGCGCTGTATTTCACCGCTTGCCTCACTAAAGTCCTTATTAGCTTCCAGCTCGAGCGGTCCATTATCTGAAATTCCTTCCAGATTTTCAAGTGTTATACAGTTCTCAAAAGTTGATAATTCATTTAACTCATTGATAAAATCACAGTTTTCTTCCTGAGGTTGGTGCAGTGCTTTGTTGATGGAAAACGTGACTTTATCACCACCAAAGCTCAATGAGATTTTGCCTTGGGCGACGTTTATTGTAGCTTAAGCGGTGGCCAGGAAAGGTCTCCCTAATATTATTGAAATTTTGCGATCTTCGCTTATTTCCATTATAATGAAATTTGCAGGGAAAATAAATTTATTTACTTGCACGAGTACATCATGAATAATTCATTTAGAAAGTCTTATTGATTTATCGGCAAGCTGAATTACAGTTCTGCATGCTTCTAATTCATAAAGCCCTAATTTGGAGAAAAGCGAGAAGGGCATAAGATTGATGTTTGCTCCTAAATCACATAATGCCCTAATCGGCTCTAAATTGCCTATAGTACAAATAATGATAAAACTCCCAAGATCGTTTAGTTTCTTTGGGAGGTCCTCCTTAAATACCGCGCTGCACACACTTTCCAGCTGCACTGTTGTCACTTCGTCAGGGAATGCCCACTTTCGATTGATAATGTATTTGATAAACTTAGCGTAATGTGGCATCTGTGACAAAGCATCAGCAAACGGTATAGTAATTTTAAGACTACGGAAAATATGTACAAACTTATCAAATTCTTTGAAATAGTCCTCCTCCCAAGTCTAGTAGGAAAGGGGGCCCTAGCCAATGGCTGAGCGGGACCCTTTTCCTTCGGTTCAGGCACCCGAGCGGCTGGTATCGCTCGTGGTTAGGATGGGCCTTCTTTCTCAACTAGAATCTGAATAATTTCATCCTGCACAGGCAAGTTAGCAACAATAGGGGTCGAAGGAGTATTAGTACCTCTGTCTGGCAGCGGTGGCGATTGCGTCCGCTTCCTACCCCTTGTTTCTATGGCCTTTGCTTGGTTTGGGACAATCTCGACTATCCCAGACAATGTTCCTTTCTGCTTCAGCTGCATAGCTTCAGCTATCTGCCCGACCTGTATCTCCAGCATTTTGATCGAGGCAGATGTATTTCTTTGGAACTCCTGATTTGCGCGCTCTGTGTTCCTCCAGAGTTCTTCCAGACTCAGTGGCGCTTGGACCGCTGTGGGAGGTTGGGCAAAAATAGGTGTCTGCTGCGGAAAGTGGGGGGCTTAAAAGTACTGTTGTTATTGTGGATAGAATTCCCTTTGGTGATATTATTGCGCAGCGAACTGTTGTGGCCGTTGGAATTGTTGCTGAGGACGCGGTCCAGCGGGGCCTTGAGCATGCCCTTTTTGGAACTGCTGGAATTGAGGGGCATTTTTGCCAGCCATATAGAAGACCTCCGTGGGCTTTGTTGATCTGTATAGGCGCATTCCTCAATCTCCGTGGCCTCATGCATTGCATGTTTTCCTTAATTATGCAGGTACTGTTTCATGAGCTTAGACAGCTCTTTGATTTGGATAGACAGACTATCTATCCGTGCATCGTGGGAAACCGAAGCAGGAACCTGGTATAAACTCCTCGATGGCTCCGGCCTGTTGGTCTCTGGCCAACTTATCTGATTGGCCGCCATTCTCTCGATTAGAGCCCTCGCTTCTGAGGCACAGCGCCCCATCAGCGAGCTTCCTGCCGCTGCATCCAGAGATATCCTTAGTTCAAGAGTGATTCCTGAGTAGAAAATTTGTAGCTCCATGAAGTCCGAAATTTTATAATAAGGGTAGTTGCAGAGCAATAGTTTGTAGCGGCTCCAGGCTCTAGGAAGGGTCTCATCACTCGCCATCTTGAAACTTAGTATTTCATTCCTCTAACGAATGGTTTTTGATACATGATGGTATTTACTCACGAAGTCCTGCACTATTTCCTTGAAAGTGACATGAATGGGATAGAGATTATCAAACCATTTCATGGCTTCTCATGTTAAAGAAAATGGAAACAGAATTAATTTTGCAGTGTCCTCTGTGATTCCGTGTGATTTGGAGGTGGCAGCGATCTTATTGAAGTTCTGTAGATGCTCGTATGGGCTTTCATTGAGCAGCCCGTGGAATTAGCTTTGGCTCACCAGGCTGACGAGCGCTGGTTTCACCTCGTAGTGGCTAGAGCCTCTGGGCGCAGAACTTGTAATAAATGTATGATCCAAGAGGGACTAATAGTGAACGTCCATGAGAACTTCAGCAAGCAGGCGTTTAGCAGCCCTGTGTCCCTGAGGCCTCTGGTTAGGCTCAACAGTAGGTGGTGGGGGAGCAATGTCGGCGGGTGTCGCAGTGGTGTTGGCAGCTTAAGCCGCTTGGGCAGCGATGAACGCTCCTTTTGCAGCTTGGATTTTCTCCACCTGAGTGAGGTGCGCTTGCAGCCCAGCCATTCCCTGTTGGATGCTGCCGAGGGCTCTCATGAGCTATTTCTCGGTTGGCGTCAGCGAGTGGGGAATGACAGTTGGGA